AATATTGCATTATCTTTGATCAAAGTTCAAAATTAATTATGTTTTTATCTTGTAGTTTAATGGCAGTCAGCATACGAGAGCTGTGTGATGTTGAGTATAAATTATTTTATAAGTTGAATAATTTTTGTGTTTCTACAAAATTATTAGGACCTGCATAAGAAATTCCCGAGAGATCTATCACCATCGATCCATCGATCATTGCTGTTATTGATATCCAAAATGGCGATTCGTTCAGTTTTTAATGCTAATGACAGTCAAGTTTTAATCAATGATAGTAGTGAAACAAGTGAGGTGACGAGTGCTTGTTGTTATAAATATAAAATAGAACTCAGATCAGCACAAAAAAAAATATTTAACTGCTACAAGAGGAGATAAACACGCTCAATCGTACCGTAAGTACAGACTCGTGTTACTTCCACAGTTCGAACTTAAAAAAAAAGGGGGGGGGGAACCGGGTTCTTGTGTTTATGAATCTCCGCTGGAACATCTGGCTAACCTGACTTAGGTTTTTTCATGGTTTTTCACAGTACCACCAGGCAAATGTTGATTGGACCTAGTAACCTTTAATCAGGTGACAAAACCAAGACTTTTAAATACATTATTTACTAATCAGCCATTTGATTCTATATAGTTCCCGCTACGAAGTGTGTTGTGAAATCATGAAAGGAAATGTGGTGCAGGAGCAGTTTTAAATGTTATTAATAATCGGACACAACTTTCAGCGCCAGAAGAGATAGTGTCCAACATCAAGATTGAGCCCAATGACCGCAAACTGGAGCTACAGATAGCCCTCAAGAAAGCACGGAGACTGAAGCTGCAGGAGACTGTTACAGAATCAAAGAACAATGTAGAAAGGGTACATCACATTGGCAGATTTCCCTCTTAATCCTTCTCACAAATGTTTGACTGTAGTATGGGTCATTTCTCTTGTTCAGTCAAGGCCATCTTTCCCTTACCTGCCTCTCTGCTTTTTCTCCCTGAGACAAGAGAGGAGCAGCCCTATGGATAGGTGGCGGAAGGTGATGAAATTGTCCCTAGCTACAGAATTCTGTGCCATGTTTAGTTCCTACACAGTGTCTCCATATGCTCCAGTTATAAAATGGTGCACAGAACTTTGTAGTAAAGTTCATTATGATGTTTCCTCCTTTGTTACTGTACAAAACCATTGTACCCTAGAGAAACTATATTGTAATTTAACCTGAGGGCTATTAAATTGTTTCTCCAACATATGCTTGTCAATTTGATTTTAGAATTCCAGTTAAAATTTTTTTTTTAAATTTAAAATTCAAAATTTAAAGTTTTAAATCACAGGGATACCTGCTCTGTGATTTAAACTGGAATTCTAAAATCAAATTGATCATATGTTGGCGAGATTTTAAACAAAACTGACAGGCTGGTGTTTTAGATTTTGAATTGTGTGCAGTGTGACAGCTACGTAGTGAAAAATACACCTGATGATGGC